GTTAAGGTTAAAACAAACTTTTCTAGAATCATCGATTATATAAATTAAAAAACTCATGTTGGTGATAGTTTGATATTTTATTCTTCTTTTAGAGATAAAATAGTATATAAAATTATACACTCAATATTAAATAATAAAGAACAACTATGAAAAAACAATTATAGTTTTATTATTCTAAATATAAATATAAGTTGTACCGTCTTATATGGTTGGTAATTTTTTCAAAAGATGGGATTTTGTTAGCCAATAATTCTATCATATTCTAATATAAAAATAGAATTCACGCGAGAATGAAACAAGCAAAAGAGTCAATGAGAGATAAATTATGGAGAATATATCAAAGTTTTCGAAGCAATTAGTTTTAGACATCGGTTTTAGATAAAAAAAAATTAAAAAAACATTAATAATATTATATAATGAACGACAAATTAACCTCTTTGGGTATTTTTTTCTCCAATATATTTAATTCATACATGTTTGGGTCTTTAATAGTTAATGTAGTACCAAAATCTTTTCTTGTCATATTAGACACTAATTTTTTTATGTGTCTTGTATTTACTAATTTTTTGGAATTACTATTATACATATACTAGAAGGGTTATCAAGCAATGTAGCGAGATACATCTCGATTTTAATGTTCTATTTTATTCTTTGTGTCTGTTGATGTTATAATACGATTTTATGTGTTTTTAAGAAAGCAATAATATTTTATTTTTGAATAAAATATAAATTTGAAGATATCATGAAAATTTGAAAAAATATATATCAATGTTAATATCAAATCAACTATTTAAAAGTTTTCATTTTTTATGTAATTTCTTTAATTTATTATAATTTAATTTAAGTTTAATAATGAAATAATTTATTTCTGGTTTAATAATATAATATTTTATAAAGATAATAATTAAGTATTCTGTTAAAACTTAATGATTATCCTAATTATATTTTAGATTTTTTATATTTAAAATGAGATGTTTATCCTCAATTTGATTATGTTTATCCGCAGTTAGTTACATGAATTCAAACATAGAGCTTTAATAAGTTGTACTTATGCACAATTACTTGTAATCTTAAATTTTAGGTAATATGCATCAATAAACAGTACTTTATGCATAAAAAAAGTTTTTAAGAGCTTTTGTCAAATGCTTTATAATATAGTATAGATTTATTAAAAATATTTGAGCTCCTAATTTTTATGGGCCCTGGGCGTACGCTCGACCCGCCCTCCCCCAGGGACGACCCTATGTTCACAGCATGCTTCTATAACATCGGTAGTATTTACACTTGAGGTGTCAATCGAGTTAGGATAAAATCTTTGTCATATAAATTCATGCTCACATTTCTCATATTATCGATTTGTTCAGGTTAATAAATCATCGCTTTGTTTAAGGTCTATTTTAAAAACTAGGTAACTTTACCGCGCTTCGCGCGGTCGTTGTTGATTGATGAAAGAAATTATCGATAAGTTTGAATTCGATATAAAGTGTTAAAAGGTATCACGATAATTGTGGGTACAATTTTGTTTTTGAATGTTTTATTTTGTTAGAATAAGTAGAGTTAAAATACATTGGTTGCAGAAAAATGAATATGTAAGTTTGAATTCGATATAAAGTGTTAAAAGGTATCACACTAATTATGGTACAATTTTATTTCTAAATGTTTTATTCTGTTAGAACAAAGAGAGTTAAAATATTTGGTTGCAGAAAAATGAATACGTAGCGTAAAAAAAGTTAAATTGTGAAATGATAGAGAATCTATACTACATATATAACCATTTAGATCATTGTCTTAAATACAAGTTACTAAGCATATGGTACAATGGTTTTATGCACCAAATTCAAAAATCTCTTAAAGACAAGTCATAAAGCATATGGTACAACCTTTTTATGCATGGAGCCTTCTTGATGCCATTAATTCTATTCATGGTAACTCTTCAAATAACTTTTATCAAGATTAAGTTCCCAACTTACTTTTTTGATGTTTCTGTTTTGAACTTGTTTTCATGCACGGTTACATTCCACACCACCTCCCAAAATGGTCATTTCAGACCCTTGCTTTCTTCTC